AGTCCAATGCAAGATCATGTTATAGTATGGAACGAGATCCGCATTATGGAGAATCATGCTATGTAAATCAACAGCCAAAAATTTTAATTTCGAATTCAGTCACTTTTTATTACCGATCATACCACAATTTCTGCAATTCATATTGTCCAAACCAAGGTTTGCTAAGACAAATGAAGTAAGCCAAATATAATATACGAAGTAAGTTGCAGTAGCTACAAAAAAAACATTTCTTTGGACAAGGTAATTCCTGCCTTCGTTTATGAGATAGTTATCAATCGCCACAACATACCTCTACGTACATCAGAACATTAGATACAATTGTAGAAACTGATTAGATTAGGTTAATGATGACATAGTGAACAATGACAACTAAAAGAAAAGTAGACAATTTGTAGGGGCTTGGTTCACAAACCACTCGGTAACCCAATAAGCCTATTGAAATCGAAATACTCTGATCGACCAATAAAAGGACAAATAAATACAAGGTGAAAGATCAGATCAGGGATAAACAATAGAAAGCATATTCATTAATTACAACCAATCAAATTCATTGTGGACAGGATAAGCTATTATTTCTATTTCCAAAAAGATCCCAACAACTCATTACTCTATTATTTGTGTTGCGGATGATGTTGTCTAAGGAAACAATACAGGTTTTATTACTAAAGCACTTAGCTCATAGAAAACAACACTTTCAAAACAGTATCAATGTATGATGTAGGTTGTAAACTATTAAAATTCAAAAACACCAACAGCCCTTTTGAGATTGTTCCACATAACTCTTACCGATAAATGAAAACTAATAAGTACCATTATCCATTGACGACAGTTACGCTTCCGATATACTTGATGGTTTTTTTACTTAACGATACACATTAATCAACCCTAATGATCTTATTACTAGTGTTCTGATAGTTGATTTCATGCTCTTATTAAACTAAATAAAAAGTTATGATAAGGAACTGTGTAACCAGTTGAGTGCAGTCATATCGGACATTAGAATGACATTACTAATGAGGAAAAGATAACAGTACAACAATATTAGGAACTGACTGAGGTAAGAAATGAAACCACTAGATCTCAACTTAGTGGTTTAGACTTTAGATCACAAACAGGTCTGAGGATTATAGTTCCAACCCCTAGTAGGTTCGCAGATGTTTACAGACGCGGGGGTCCATGCTAGGAACTAAACGGCTGTCCAATACTTCCTGGTTTTTAATGGTTATCTGGCTAAATTTAATTTCAATCATTTGAATTACAAATGATGATATTAATTTAATTCTTAAGGGTTTATGAATCATCCCGTTGTTAATATACTGAACTGTAATCAATCTTGGTTGGTAAATATGCATCCTGTACAGAGGAAATACATTTGCAGCTACATTCAGCAGCTAACAAGTCTCAAAAAGGATGAAACCTACATTCTGGATTCCACCGCTCAATACAATCCAACTTTTCTATAAATGATGTCATCATCACCAAACTTCTAGCACATGTGACTAATCTATGACTGTTGATTCACTGAACACAAACAAACAAATCTATATAAAAAGACAACCATTTAGTCACTAAACAATAACTAACGGCAGGATAATTTTATTTAACATGATAACAACTAAACATTTGAATGATAATAATAACAATGCTTGAATAGAATAACACAAACACAGCAAAATCGTGAATCTTTATTGTTATTCTTTGTGATAGTGATGATAATGATGAGGATGATGATGATGATGATGACAATGAAGTTCCAAGAGAAAAAGAAACCGACCAAAAGCAAATAAAAACGAATAGAACCCCCTCTTTTTTACTTTATTATAATAAAAAACGAAAATAAACTGATAAACAAACAAATCGTATTAGAGAAAAAGAAACTCTGATTGACTGACTAACTGAGTAGGACAAGGAAGGAGTTAATTGAGAGAAAGAGAGCGAGTGATAATAACAGTATAATTACCACAAAAATTGTTTCAACCAATCTTTTTTTTTAAAAAAAAGAGAAGAACGACAAATGCACTGGGATAAGCAAAAGAGAGTTTGATTGGGATCGTGAATGTGTGTATCAAAACCTCTTGTTTTCCATACCGACAGATATATGTAACCAAATAACCTGGAACATGTAGAAGACACGTTATTATGATCTTAGAACTTTTATTTGTGTACATTTGTTAACTATTATCTAGTTTCTGTTCATTTAAGATTGTTCCTATTGTTGTATTTCATTAAAAGTGGTTATATTGCAGTAAGTTGATGGATTGCCACTATCTCCATATGTATATGCATGTGAAAGTATAATATTGACTTGACGATTATCACACCATAAGAATTGTTATAAGTATCCTCGTCATAGTCACTATGCTCTAGTTCATTTTCATCAATGTGTAGTGAACGATATAAATGATTCAAAGATGATTCATTGAAATGGGGGTGGGAGGGCAAACATAAGATCAAAACAACCTAAAAAGTGATATAAATGTACACGAATGGAAATGGGGAGTGTTTGTGGTGGGGATGATGACAGAAAAAAAGGAGGTAGGTAGAACGTTACCATCTAAAAATAGTTATTTTACCCTCTTACCACATCGAACAGAGATTTAGAAAAAAAAACAGTAACAATATGAATGAAGAAGTTATCAAAACAAACTGTTATATTCCTGCTGTGGACAGTTGATATCTTCTTGTCTTATAATACATTTACACGGATAGACAAAGTTCCAATGAAAGTTTGTGGGGACATATTACGATGACTAAGGTACATAATTGGAATTATATAATAAGTGTAAAATGAAATATTATTGGATGCATAAAATAGCATCGAATTGATCCTTTGTTGTTGTTGTTTTTTTGTCAATAACCATTTGTACCTTTCGTGTAAACTGATTAGAAAATGAATTGTTCAAAATGATCAGCTGAACCAGTTTCTGTTTTTTTTTTAATAAAGGAAAACCGGGATAGTTAACATACTACTCATTATTAGTATTATTATTAACGGATTAATCTGTTTATTGATAAAAATGCCCTTGGTTATATCATGTCGATTCAAGATTACATTCATATTGGTATGTTTATATTTCCTTTGTGAAACAAAATAACAACCAGATACAAACGTATATATGTATGTATAGTCGTCTATATGTGATTGATGTATTAACTAATATGTATGTTTGTAAGAAAATGTACTTTTGTGATTGTGTTAGATATCTTTCTTAATTTGCCTAAACAGTAGAAAAGAAGAGATAAGGGTTTTGAAACCACGTACACATATATAATGCAAGCATACATTCTTTAAATAGAAAACAAGGTAGCAGTAGGGTGTAATGAAGTTTGACATTTAAAAAAAAAGCAACTTCAATAAACCATAAATCAAATCATTATGTTTATATACGTATAAGATCTTGATACAGAAGAGAGGAAAGTCATTTTTTTTAAAAAAAAAACTGAAAAGATAATAAACAACATACATGGATACTATTAAAAATCTAGTTAGTAAGTAGTATATTGCAAGGAGAATGAGAGAGAGAGAGAGAGAAAAGGAAAGCAAGTTTCGATACCGTGAATGAAATCTTGAAAATAAGACGAGAATATATGTGTAGGCACATGAAGCTATGGTATTATTATTATTATTATTTCATGACAAAAATACAAATGCTTTAGAGGATGATGTAGAAAAATTGGTGATATGCACCTTGTGGTTCTTTTGGGGTTGGTAGGGGGAGGGGTAAAAAGGCATTACACTTACTTACTTACTTACATTCACACATACATCCATACATTAGAAATTATAGGTGGAATTATTATGAAAAACAAGAATTACAGTCGACGTTTTTAGAAAGAGAAGATGAACTGATTGTTTATATGGTTATTCGTTTACTACTCCTTTAGTTTGTTGTACACAATAATGAGGCAGGATAATTTCCAAAAGAGAAGAAAAGCATAGATCAGATAGTATGATTGTAATTTATGAAGAGAAAGATATTTCTTGTCATTATAAAGTTGAAAATTTGTATACTTGTTACACAACTACAAGAGATATTAGAAATGTCAAGATTTTGGCAAGAAATAACCAATATTTACATGAAATTTCAAAAGAGAAATCCACATTGTGACATTGAAAATGAAAACCTATTCATTAATTACCATGTATAATTCGAAGATATTTTAAAATGTGTCTGTGTATGTGTGTATTAGAGAGAGAGAGGGAGGGAGAAAGAGCATAGTACTAATCCATCATAATTACTGCAAAGAATTTCTTCATAAATGTGTACAAGTTATTATTATCCACAGGGGGTGAAAATAAAAGTTGGTTACCTACTTGGAGTGATGTGTGTGTGCATTTGGAAGAAAGTGTACATTGTATTTAAGAGTTTCCTAATCATTAATATAAATACAATTCAAGCGCATAGACAGGGGGATCCAATACCATTTATAACTCATACTAATTTTACTACTATCATTTTTATTAGTAGTAATAACAAATTTTATCAGCAACTTGGGAGGATCGTTCATTTGAAATGTACCTAGGTAGTACCGTTAGTAGTATATAAAAGTATAGATACATCCATACAACATAACTATTACTATCAACACTACAATAATAATAATAATATAACATTACAAATATTGTCGAATAAACACAATATAAGATGACGACAGCAAAGGAAGGCAGTTAATTTACTTTCAAAAGAGAAGAACGTGAACAGTAGCATACAGTCATCATAATCTATGTACAATACTACTATTTATTTCTGAAAGAAGACAAAAAAAAAGACAATTATCACTCGAAGTTGAAGATACCAATAGTAGTCTATCATTAAGCACATGATTGAACAATAATTTACTCTTTTTTCTTCAATTGCACGATCCGGACGATTGATTCAATATTGAATATGGTGGAGAAATCGGGATCAATGTCAATATCAACTCTAAAGATGTAACATATCTGATGTAGTCAATTCCTCTCTCTCTCTCTTCCTCTCTATTCATAGTGAAACTGAAAATTAGATTGTTGTATATTTTGTAGGATGACGTAATAAATTAGGCACAAGACGAACAGATGGCCATTTTCGTGAACTTGAATTCGTTATTGTATTGTTTTTATTATTATTATTATTATTACTACCACTGCGAGTAGTAGTAGTAGTAACAGTCTCGTCACCACAACCATCATTATTCTCCACCTCACCATCATCATCATCATCATCTGGATCACAGCTTAGAGTGGTAGTAGTAGTAGTAATAGTAGCAGTGGTAGCCACCGTTGTCATTACTGTAATCACTTCATTAGTATTGTTTATTAGTGCAATCGCGGTTTTGTTTGTATTATTAATATCAATGGGAATTGTATCTACAGATGTTTTAATTATATTATCATTCACCGATCCATTATCATTATTATTACTGTTATTAATAGTAGTAGTATAACTTGAATCTTCTGCATTCAGTGTCGACATTGATAATAATGATGTTGACGTGGAAAATTTCTCTGGTAATTCTGTTATTCGACTTTGTTCAGTGATTTGTTCCGAGTTAATTATACTACCACTAGAGATGATCTCTGATTCAGAAGCACTACAAGTATAAATAAGAAACTGTTTACCCCTAATGCTAAACAAATAACTGAACATTTAAATGAATTCATAATTGAAATGAAAGAAGTGTTTCTTATCTGTTTGATACAAAGTTCAGTGTCTAAAGAAAAACTACTCTATAGGACAGTTATGTTGTCATTTTGATATCAGTTGAATTAGGGCCTTACATCAATGACTCGGTCTCATGAGTAAGCTATCATTTGGGTACACAGTATCGTTTATTAGCTTTAATAGTACAACTTTACAAGTGAAATGTTCCCATTAGATATGCTATTTATGGGGAAAACAATGAAAATTGTTTCTTTCGACAAGTTAAAAAAAAACCGATATTTAAATAAGCCATTTCATTGGAATACTGATTTATGGGAATTTCCTTCCTTCCTAAGAAGTTCTCCACACACACACACATACACACACACATAATCTCTTTTTCTCGTCCTAACAAACAAAAAGGTGATGAATATTAATCATTAGGATTGTTTTGAAGTCTCAATAAGAAAAAGTCAATAATGTGTATAGTTGAACTGTCATTCTTTTCTAATAATGAACTGACAAGATCAGTAGACAACATAAACTATCATTTGACGATTAGATTAGCTTACTGTAGATATGAGTCGTATGACAATCTCTGTATGAAATTAATCCATTTCTGGATATATTATCTCTTATTATATTAAAACTGTAGAGAATTTGGCAGTAAAGTATGTTTCTTATTGATTGTATGATTGCGCATATCATCACTCACTTTTTTTCCACTCAGTATAAACTCCCATTAATGAGGTTATTACTACTATCAATAGTGATAATAATGATATTATAGCTTGCATTACGAGTTGATCATTAGTAAGGAAATGATTTAAAACTAAGGAAAAGTGAATGGCTGCTTCGTCCTAGTATTTGGCTCCTCAGTGACTCGCCTCAATGATCCTACCGGGATAGTTGACCACTGGATGATGAACCTAGAGATTATTCTAAATTCATGTGTTTGTCATAAGACCTAAAGGTTTAGAGGTTCAATCCCAAACGAGAGTAATGGATGCGCACTACCAAGGCGTCATCAAGTAGGATGAGACAATTGTCCATTGTTTCTTAGTTTTCAATAGCTCTCTAATTAAGATCGACTTGTGATGTAAACTGTGAAAGTTCAACTATCTTAGAAAACTCTCTAAAACAATATTAATAATCATAATAACGCTAACATTTGAATACTACTGATGTAAGTAGTCATAGGAAACGGAGAAACTCACCTCACCATTTCAATATCTGACTTTAACGAATCTACATTATTATTGCTGTGGATGTTGTTGTTAATAGCCGACATTTTGTCAAGCTGCCCACCTTCCGTACCATCACTACTACAATCAACTTGAACAACATCAACGCCAGTTGGATAAGAAGTGATAGTAACAGTTGGAAGAGAATCTTTGAGAATCGCATTCATCATATCATTATTATTATCATCATTATCATCAGTAGTAGAATCAGTGATGATAGAAGTGTTGTTGTAGTCGGTTGTGAAAACATCGTTTGAAAGCAGACTTGTTGTACAAGACATAATATTTGTATACAATGAGGATGATGACGTTATTGATGATGAATATGAAGTAATTGCATTATTATTATTATTATTATTTGTAGGACTATTGTTAGTTGATATCATTATTGTTGAATTGCCAGCAGGTGGAATTATCATTCCTCCTTCAGATTCTTCTATTTTCATAAAATTAGCTTGATTCAAGGCTAAATTACGACTCTGAAAAGTTTCTTGATTTAAACCAGGTAATAATAAAGCTGATAATAGAGGAGATGACTGAGATGGAGTTGTATTAGAGGCACCAATTGTATGAAATGTTGATGATGTACTTAATTCAGGAGAGACATTTGATTTTGGTGAATTAGACGGATTATTCGATTCACCCCCTGTAGTGAATAATTGATGTGATATAATTGGATGTGTTGGTGATGATAATGGAGTTGTTAATTGAGTATCCATAGGAATTGAGGCATCGACTATTCCTGGTACTAATGCTGTTGTGACTTTTGGTGAAACAGTTTCATTAGCTATGGCTACACTATCAGTACGAGTAGATTTTGTGGAACCCTGAAAAGTATCGATGCATCAGATTATTTTTTTAAAAAAGTAAATGAATATTTTTATTTCGTGGATTCAAACAATGTAGAATGAATAAATAATAGATTTGTAATAACCCAATGAGTAGAAAAATTAGATTTTCTGACGTTTCGTGACTAAGTGTAAGTCACTTCTTCAGAGAATAAATAACCAAATTAAAATTAATCCAATAAAGTTGATCGACAGTAATAAACTAAACAACAACACAACATCGTATTTACACCTTTTTTTAATGACGAAAAAAATAGTATCCGAGTTCGAACTAGTTTTTCTAATTCTCATTATTGATCATTTTGTTGCATAATTACTAAGTAGGTAGATTACTATGTCTAAGTATTGCTTTCATCATAAGCTTTTGTTTGACCGACTAACTATTGTTGTACCACTTACCATTCTTAATCTGTTCCCAGTCTATTAATCACAGTCTCCACAATTCACAACCATATTTGGCGATGTAGGGGTATGATATGTCTTTATATAAATCACGTCTTTTAGAAATATAAATATAGCAGAGACTGGTTGCTTTTTTTTTAACTTGAAGCAGGGTGTAGAGAGGAGGTAGCGAATAGTCAACTAACAAGAACTTGGTTCTCGAATCAAAGTCAATAGTGCTGGTTGGATGTGTAATTATCAAAGTCAGAAACATCAAGCTCGAGAATAAATAGAAGACGTGAAATCGACCAAATTTGAATTAGGATCCTGATTAGTTATTTGACACGTAATTTTGGTCAGCAGGGCTTCAAGACATAACAGAGTATTGATCATATTGTGAGTTTACAATATATCATGAATGCCCAATAGTATATATTCGCTTAGGGCGGGGGGGTAGTATAACCATTGACTTGTTTTATGGAAGGGGATTGTTGTTGTTACAGATTCGAATAACCAAATAGCCCATGCTCAACGTTAGTTACTATTTTATTTAGAGACTAATTTATTCAAGCAGGAAATTGAAACACACTACGTAATTCGTATGGTTATATTGCAACATCACCTGAAAGTTCTCCTGAATAAATTATGTAAGCATCTGACAAAAATTGAAGCAATATTGAGGAACTATCTTGTAACGTGGTTATTATTAAATAATAATCATTATGTTAGTATATGTGACTAATTTATATATTTCATTACCGAGGTTCTATTAAATATTTATAACCAGTAGAATCAGACTGTGTCGGATGTGAGGTAGTTATCTACTGAAGATACTGAAGGATGGTTGTACAATATCTGGAATCGATCGAAGTTCAACACTCAAATTCAGTTGTCTAGTAGTCAAGTTCTCACTTCAAGATCTAGGATCCTGCATTCGATCCCCGATGAAGTCATGGGTCTTCAGTCTTGAGCAATGCCATAATATAACGACACAACTATCCTAGTTTGCAACGGATATATAACTTCGGTTCGGTTCGTGACGTCAATAATACATATCATTATTCTAAACATTTCAATAGACTAGTATTTACCTACTCATAAGTAGTTAATGTAAAACATCATCTAAAGAGGATGACAAAATACATAGTAAATTGAAAAATAAATATTAGCTTACTTGATGTTTACCTCCAGTGCTATTGGGATACCAACGTCTATCAAGGAAGAGGAAACCCCCCAAAAAAAACAGTAGAGAATTAATTTATGAAACTTGCATAGAGATTACACAGGAGTACAAGCAAAGAGAGAGCAAACATAAAACTTTAACACCTTTAAACGCATATATATAAATAATCGAGTACTGTATGTTGATATACAAATTGAAATATAAGTTAGAAAAAGGGATAATTTAAAATATATCCCTATGGTTTATCTTAATTAACATGGTCGAGTAGTGAAATAGTCAATACTTTCTTTTTCAGAACTGAATACAGAAAACAGTGAATCCAGGCTTAAAGACAATACAGCCTCGAGGTCATGGGACTTAGATCTAAATAGAACATTGTCTACAGATGTGAAAACAGATCTTCCTAATGTGTTATTATTGTTTGTTAATTGTATCATGAATATTATCATTAAATACTTTAGGAATTCGGCTTCAGAGCTCATATTATAGTTTGGAATCAAGATGTAGAGTATATAATTTAAAATCAGAGTTTGTATCGGGATCTAAAGTTAGTAGTTAGTCTTGTGATGTAAAGTTCAAAACTTAAGATCAATGGTTAGAATTTACGGTTTGAGATAGCATTTTACCGTCAGTCTAGTCTATATTGTATCTTAATATTTCAAGTTTATTACAAGCCTTAAGAAGATTAGATTTCTCTAATACTATAGGTTCCTATTGCGTAAATCAATAACACCAACTAGCACACAAAACTTGATCGCTAACACAAGAAAAAAAAAGACAGAAAACTTCAAAAATCAAATCAGAGCAAACAGAAACAAAACGAAATGGTATAAGTAACGAAAACATGACCTCCAAATATACACACATTTTAGCGAAACTAAAAGCGATAGTGATTAATTAGCTGAAGACAAAGCTCATGAATTAAAAAAAAATTGAATTAGAAAAAAAAAAGACACTTGTGATTACTATTTCTAGTAAGATCTCAGCATTGTTAACAAATTTGAAGTAATCATTTAACCACTTACTTTAGCAGTACTGGAAACTATAGTTCTAACAGCAAATTTCAAAAGGAATATGCTTATTCTAATCCCAAATTTTGAATTCCATATCCAAATAATAAACCTAATCCTAAATTATAAACTCTACAGTTTATCTATTTTTGTATTGTATGTTTGAATCTTCTGATTGATGTTTAGGACTGCAATGATCGGCATCTTGTTGGCATATGTGTATAGTGTGTTGATTGTCTCGATATTGCCTTAAGTCACAAGCATTATAAACAAAGATGAATGGTGGCTAGAAGTGAAATCCAGGACGTACGTTTCGTCCTATTTTGGACTCATCAGCTGGATATACCTGCTAGCCATCATCCATCTCTACATTTCAAACCTCAAATTCTACTCTCAAACCATTAGATTAAGTTCTATATTCCATAGCCTAAATTCTGTTACTAACTTTATCAATTATTCATTGATACTTACTATTTTCTGATTGGCTGAATAAGATTTCAAGTCATTTGAAGAGTTATTCATGCTCATCTAATATTATTTATTTATTTATTTGAACACATATATATTGGTAAAGGAGTGCGCCAAATATATATGCGACACATAAAACAATTAGAACTTAAGAAGGAGAGAAAAACAAGTAAGGAACGTAAACAAAAAAACAATAACGAAGAGATTGGTGCAAGGTAGTGTAATAATAAAAGTAGTAATGGTGGCGGAACAAAAAGGTACAATCAGAAGAAATCTTTCAGTTAGGGAAGATACAACAGCTTTTTACGAAGTAAAAGAAGGTTACAGCAGGATCGCCACTGGCTTCTATTCTGAGCCATATCTGATAACGTCTCTAGCCACTGTGTAGCACCATCTCTCGGACCCCAACCAGGGAGTCGTGAAGGACCAACACAAGCCAGTCCTTTGCAGCTTTCTTTCATGCCACGACACCATGTCATGCACTGACCACCTCTCCGCTTCTTCCAACCAGTCCCAGAGTCGGCAAATAATGCACGACGTGGAATTCTCTGGGACGACATTCGGAGAACATGTCCAAGCCACCGAAGTCGGTGTTTCAAGATGGTGACACCAATTGATTATCATCTCTGTGCCCGAACACACGATGCCGAACCTCTGCATTACTGACATGGTGTTGCCACTGAATGTCAGCAATCCTTCGGAGACAGCGATGATCGAACACAGAGAGTCGTCTAACGTCCTCAACTCGGAGAGGCCAGGTTTCACAAGCATAGAGCAAAACTGCTCTCACCGACGCGTTGTAGATCCGACCTTTTACAGCCAGACTAACATCACGAAGGCGCCAAAGGTGGCCCAGATTGGCATAAGCCGCTCTGGCTTTCACTATTCGTGCATTGATCTCATCACTCACACCCCCACCAGCACTTATGCAGCTACCCAGATACACGAACTTCTCGACTACGTCTATCTGCTCACCATCCAGGGTGAGTACAGGATTAGAATCCTGCCAGTCTTGTAGAAGTACTTTGCACTTCGAAGGTGCAAAGCACATACCATACCTACGGACACTGATTGCCAACTGATTAAGTGCGGATTGCATGCCTTGGGCATTATCGCACAGTAAGACAATATCGTCCGCATACTCAAGGTCGAGAAGTCTTTCTCCAGGCAACAGATCCACACCACCATTACTTACATTCATCAGAGCTGTTTCCAGAATGTCATCGATGGCAAAGTTGAAGAGGAATGGTGAGATTGGGCAACCCTGCCTAACCCCACTGCTCGAATGGAACAATGGAGAGAGGTGGTTGTATGCCCTCACTCTGCCTGAGGTGTTTTTATATAGGGCTTTTAGGATGTTAATAAACTTCTCAGGCACACCCTTCTTCAATAGACAATCCCAGAGAACAGTCCTGTCCAACGAATCGAAGGCAGCCCTGATGTCAAGAAACACTACGATTGTTGGCCTTTGAAAAGTATGGCGGTGTTCTAACATTTGGCGGAGGGTGAAGATATGATCAATACATCCTCGACCAGAACGAAACCCAGCCTGCTCCTCGCGAGTCAATCTTTCTCGGGTTTTGAACAACCTACGAAGTATGACGGAAGCCAATAGCTTGGACGCAATCGGAAGTAGACTTATCCCCCGATAGTTGTTACAGGAACGACGTGAACCCTTTTTAAAGATAGGGACAACTATCGACTCATTCCATGACGTTGGTACACTCTCTAGTTCCCAAACCTTTGTAAACAACGTCGTCAATTCCTTAGTCAAAAAGTCACCACCATCTTTAAAAAGAGCCGGAGGTAAGTCATCTGGGCCAGGTGATTTGTAACGCTTCAAGAGTTGGAGTTCCTTGCGGACTTCCTCCTCATTTGGTGGATCAGTCGTCACCGGCCATGGAGGGCAGGACAGTCTGACCGATGTTGCCGGAGCAGCAGGCCAGTTGAACTGCCCTTCGAAAAATTCTGCCCATCGTCCAAGACGTCGATGGATGTTAGTGATTGGCATCCCATCATCCTCGCAGATTGTTTCACTCACACCAGACTTCTTGCTGCCAGTGGCTCGGATGAGCTGGAAGAGCTTCCGGTAGTTACCAGATGCAGCTGCTGCTTCCAGCTCATTAGCACGCATCGACCACCAGGCTTCTCGGTCCTTACGCAAGCTTTGCCCAATTTCCTTACGTAACATCCTTCGTTTATGGTCAAACTCACGGTCACCCGGAGTAGACCGACGGGCTTCAATGAGTTGTAAGGAACCAGAAGAAACCCAGTGCTTAAAGCGGGACGTTTCGCAAACCCACAACTGACTGTTCCCGCCATTTTCATGGCGTCATGCAATTGCAACCAATGCTCATCTATACTTTTCGGTGGAGTGGTAGCTAGCCTAGAGGCTAGCTCGGTTCGATACTTACTTGCAACAGAAGTTGCAACCAGCTTGCTAACATCAATCCGTTGATGGCGGTCACTTCGTTGTCCACTGAAAAGTAAGGCAAGATTGGCGCAGACCAAGGCATGGTCAGAGTCCAGATAGGTACTCCAAAAGGAGCGGCAGTCTTGTACACAACCACGCCAGCGGTAGCTGATCGCGATGTGATCAATCTGAGTCCAGGCTTGAGATGCAGAGGGAGGACGCCAGGTGGCACATCGGCGATGACTGTGCCGAAAGTTAGTGCTAGCCAGAAACAGGTTGTGGTCTGTGCAAAGTTGCAGTAGACGGTCCCCGTTATCTGACCTGCGACCAACGAGTCCCCATCGGCCACCTAAACGACTCTCTTCTGTGCCTAGACGCCCGACCTGAGCATTCAAGTCTCCGGCTAGTACTACAATATCTGTCGAACGCACTTTCTGGAGAAGAACAGATAACTGGTGGTAAAACTCATCCTTGATTGCATCCGGGCTGCAATCTGTCGGGGCATAGGCGGAGATGACGAAAAGACATCGTTTCTCACGCCGATTTCTTCTCACTTTGATGGAACTTTCTAATCTAACAGCACATAACCGACTGTTAATGGGGATCCAATCGACTAGTGCTGCCTCAGCTCTAGCGCTTAGTGCGACACCAACGCCAGCAAGACCAGACGAAGATGCCACAGGGTCCCCGGATAAGCGCACGTAAAACAAGCTTTTCGAAGCGACAGATGGAGATCGAATTTGTAGTACTTCGCCAGAGTCTTGAATACGGGTCTCGGATAGACAACAACATCGATATTAAGACTTTCCAAAGACATAGCCAGCCCTATCTGTTGTCCGACCTGCATAAGTGTGCGAACGTTGAAGGCAGCCAGTTTGAATGGTGCACGTGGTTTCAGAAAAACTGCTTCAGTACTCATATTCGGTGGTAACATACAATTTTCAACCGGACAGTGACTCGAGAACGTTTAGATACAGTCGAATTTCCACCAAGGACGAGCTGCTGTATAAGTCGAAAAAAATAAGTATAGACAGAGTAGGAATAAAAGAGGGTGAATAATGATGTAGCAAATAATAATAATAGTAATACTAATACTACTACTACTAATAATAATAACAGTATTAATGATAGTAATTG